TATACTTTTTAACACCGGGCCAAATTCTGGTTGTGTGTGGGCGTACACGTGAATGTACAGACAAACAGACAGACAGACATGTATATTACAGAATCATCGAGAAGTAGGGCTGGAAGGGACTTGCAGAAGTCATCTAGTCCAACCCCCTCCCTGAGGCAGGATCATTGCTATCCTATCCAAATTCATTGTCTAGCCTAGTAACAAAACTACACAGTCAACCCTGACACAACCACAAGACATAATACCTTAATCTGCCATAGGTAAAGCAGAGGGAGCATGGTGACCAATGTACAGCTGCAAACACTGTTAAAATATGCTTGAGAGATTCAAGGAATAAGGCCATGCCCCCCTGCTACAGAGGAAGACAAAAATCCCTGGTCTGTACCAAGCTAACCTTAGGGTACTATTCTTTCCTGACCCCAAATATAACTTCTGCAAATGGCAATATGCTTGTACCATGAAAGTAGAATTAATATTAGCCCTCATTTTGGCTGCTTTCCATCTCCATGTTCAGCCCCTGCTGCAGATCACCTTGCCAGGACAGGAGTAATGTTTTGAATGGAATTATGGAGGTGGTTCAGAATGCTAGAGCCCCTATGTCCTACACCGGTATGACACTCTCAAGGCTGGTTTTGGAGGATCTCTGCAGTAGCATTTCTATGGACATAAACAGGATACAATTTTTATGACAATTTCTCCTCCTAACCAGGTGCGGTTTCCTTTTTTGGTGGGGGTCACATAACAACGCTTTGCAATTCTTTAACACCTTCCACTTGAAACTCTAAGAGCACTTTTAAACAATAATTTTATCCTCAAACACATCTTTTGCCCTCTGTGACAGTTTTCCCCAGATATGGGAACTGAGGCAGAGAAAAAAACACTTGATATTGATTGTAGGGCCAAAGATAGAATACAGAACCTTTGGCTCCTAACCCTGTGAAAAAATATCTGTCCTCTCTTTCAATACATTTCAAGATTGTCCTTTCTTGTCACATGAGCAACCCAGGTTAGAATTTTTCCCATTAAAGTACTACATTTTTTTATTAATTTGATAGGATTACTAGTATTTCCTCAATGCCTGCATGCTGTGTACTCCCTTAACATCTACAGAGAACTTATCTTTTTCCTGTATGACAGTTAGTGATTTGTATGACAGTTAGTGATCCACATCAGAATTCAATTTCTGGCTGCCCTAATGCTATTCATGAACCAAATTATCCACTAATATTGTATAACAAAAGTATCATTCATGTTGTTTACTTGCAAAATAGAGTGCAGAACACTGAAGAATTCTTTTAAAAGAAAAAGGAACCATTCCTTTTATGCTTAGTCATCTTTATACCAAAGTTATGAACCAACCAATCAATATATTAATAGATGTATTTATGTACCTGTAAAGTTAATTCATTTTTAAATATCTGAAACTCATTATTAGAATATGAATTGTTCATTACAATAATTAAAACCCACATACTGTACATTAGAGGTGGTTAGAGATGACAGTATATCTTAAGCAATTCCTGTTTTATAACAACATAAAGGTCCTATCCTAGAATCTATATAAAAGCAAACCTTTGAGTTCAAAAGCAGGTGTGCATCTGTAAGGAATAGAGGACTAGATGCTAACAGTTCCCATTACTTTATAAGGAACTGAACACCCTCAGTTTCCATATAAGCCAGTGGAAGTTGGACGATTAATCAAGCAGCATCCAGAATCAAGCTCAAAGTACATCATAGTAGAAGCAGTTACCACCCAATCTTTAATACCGAATAGTCACTAGGACTTCTTGGGCATATCTACACGCGCAATAATGCGCTGTAACTATGGTGCATTAAGTTTAGTACCTATAATAACTTAACTTAATGCACTGTCATCGGTGCTACTGTGCACTAGCACCAGTGCACATCTTTTTATGTGCTGTGCTAATGGACAGTACAGTAATATCTTGGTTAGCCAGGGATATGGACCTCAGTCGGTCCGCAGCCCCCTGCCCCTGCTTCTCCCTGCTGCAGGGTTGGGCAGGACGGCTCCCTGCCACTACGCGCACTCCTGGGGGATGGGGGACCTGTGCCTCCCAGATCTGTACACAGGGCAGGCACAGGCTTCCACCCTGCTTCCCTCCCCTGGGGTCTCAACAGTTTTGCGGGTGTGAGCTGGCATGGCTGTGGACAGCAGAGCTGCGTGGGGATCTCCTTGCTGCTGTGAGCTCCTCCCTGCTGCCTTGGCAATGCGCCTCCTGTTCATGCTGCTGTTTTGAGGGGTGCAGCCCCACACTACTGCTCTCACTGCAGACCTGCACACAGGAGGCGCGTTGCCAGGGCAGCATGGGGGGAGCTCGCAGCTTCTCCACATGGCTCAGCTGTTCCCTGCTGTGCCGGGTGGCACCCACTGGGCTGTGGAGGCCCCGGAAGAGGGAAGCAGTGTGGAGTTCACAGCAGTGAGCAACTTCTTTGTGCAGCTCAGCTACTCCCTGCTGCACTGGGTCATGCCTGCTGGGCTGTGGAGGCGCCAGGGGAGGGAAGCAGGGCAGCAGGGAACAGCAGGCCTACATGGAGAAGCTGCTTGCTGCTGCTCGCTCCGCACTGCTTCCATCCCTCGGGGCCTCCACATCTCGGCAGGCTCCACCCAGCACAGCAGAGAGAAGTTGAGCCACATGGAGAAACTGCTCACCACTGCAAGCTCCCCGCCATGCTGCAGTAAGAGTAGCAGTGCGGAGCTGCGCCACTCAAAGCAGCAGCACACACAAGAGGTGAGTCACCAGGGCAGTAGGGGGAGCTCACAGCAGCGAGGAGATCCCCGTATGGCTCTGCTGTCCCCAGCCATGCTGGGTCATGCCTGCAAGGCTGTGGGGACCCAAGGGAGGAAAGCAGGGTGGGAGCCCGAGCCCACAGCCTGCACCTGCCCCGCATACAAATCTGGGGAGTGTGGGTCCCCCCTCCCACTGGGAATGCATGCAGCAGCAGGGAACTGGCCCTCCCCATCCCCCAAATGAGACATCTGCAGCCCCATCCTGCTCCCCATTGGGGCCCTGCAGCCGTGCATTGCAGTCCCAAGCCCCAAACCCCAAGCACTGCTTGGCTGGGCAGCAGTCCCAGCCCTGCCCAGCTCCCTCCCCACAGGGGCCTCTTCTTTCCCCTCCAGCACTTACCTGCTGGAACTGTTCTGCAGGCTGCCTGGGGCCACGTGCATGTACCCATGTCTCACTGCCTGCCTCCGGCTCCCTCCCAGCTCTCTGTAGGCTGGAACTCTGCCAGCGTACAGGGGGCATATTGCAAAATTGATTTCTTAAGATTTTTTTTTCAATTTTTAATTTTTTTGTGTGCAAAAAACAGCTTACTTCATTATAAAGGAGCTTTGTTCCCAGAGGATTTGTTAACCAAGATATTACTATAGACCAGTGGTCACCAACCAACAGTAGATGTCGGAGCCTCTTGATCCACCAGCAGATGTTGGAGCCTCTTGTGGTAGATCTTGGAGCCTCTTGGAGTCAATCCAAGGCTGGAGTGGGGGACTGAGTGCCCACGTGCATGCATGCACATAGCCCAACCCAGCAGGTCAGTCCATGGGGGAGGGAAGGGGCGGGAGCTAGATTCAGTCCCCTGTGGTGAGGGACAGTGCCGCAGAGGTAGGTTGAGTGGGGCCCTGGGCAGGTGAGACTTACCTGCTGGGGAAGCGTGCCCCCAAATAATTTTTTCTCCTTCTGCCTTGATCGGCCCCCCCGCCCTACAGACTTACCTGCTGGGCGGGGGAAGTGTGGCAGTGGCGCATGGTAAACCTGTGGTTGCTTTTAAATGCCAAAGGTGATCTACTTACAAAGGCTGGAGACCACTGCTGTAGACTAATTCTATTGTGGATTAGCACTTTACCACAGCTTTTGCCATCATGCGCTAATGCGCAGTAGAATTAGTCACTACACTTTTAGCATCTCATGTAACCAATATTTTGCAGAAATGGATCCCCATATAATTCAAATCAGGATGCCCAAAAATAGGTAAATAAAAACCACTATATCAAATACTTTGTAATAACTAGTAAACTATACATTTAGATTAAAAGTATAAATATATACATAATTTTCCACCTTTAAAGCACTTATAAAAATAGTACAATATTTTTGTGTCTTATTGAATTAACATTTCTAATGTATTTAGACAGTTTTCATTTTGAAAGCCAGTTACAAACTGGTGAGATCTATTTGTAGTTTAATTTAAACTACAGGATTCACCAAAATACAGATACATTATCAGGAAACCTGATAGAAAGTTTAAACTTGGTAACAAAAAAGAATCTGCATTCACCAATAAATTACTATTTCTTTATACTTGGTATATTTACTTAATAGTATAATCTTATATAATAACAGTCAAATTTTGCTCTAAATTTCACTGGTGCAATATCACCCTCAGTCTATTGACATTAACCTGAAGGAGAATTTGAACTAAATCCTCACTTCTGTCGACTGTGAAACCCTTCTACAATAAGAAGAACCTGGAATTTTCACAACTGAACCACCTACAAGCTAGAAGAAATCAAGAAATTTAGATAGCCAATGAGATCCCTAAGTTTGATGTGATGCATGAGGTCTGAATTGTCTAATCACTGAGACTATTATTTCAAAATTTAAAAACTTACTGAAAACTGTATAAGAAAGAGAAAAACTACTGCTGTGAGTAGTAACTAGGACCTCTCTAGGTAGCAAGCACTTGACATAATATCAATTTTTTTGCAGAAATGAGTCCCAAAATAATTCAATTCAGGATGTTTAAAAATAGAAATACAAACAGAAGTGCATCAATTTTTGTATAAGAACAAATAAAACTATATTTAGACTACGGTATCCATTAATATATCTACTGATCCAGTAAGAGAAAAAGATGTAGAGGGAAAGAAATCAAGACAGGAAATGAGCATATTAAAAATGTCAGACTCAGTTATTTTTAAAACAGGTGCCTTCCGACTATGTCATTGTAGTATGCATTTCACAGGAACACTGGTGGATTGTTATATTCCTAAATTTCTTAAAATAAACATGAGTTTTCATCTTGATAGTCTCCAGTGGAATAAAGACATTATCTCTTTTGTTAGAACAAGATTAATTAATATTGTCTATTCAATTTAGGGTCCTAACTTGTCCTGTTGATGTCCCATGTTAAATCAGCTGGGATTTGTCTAACAGCTTAGCTGAGTTTTTGAAACACTGCAAGAATCTGGAAAATTCCATGGTGCATCTTAACACCTTTTGTTAATGATGTGATATTTAAAACAGCACACAAACTCCTGATTTAACTTCACCTCCGTTTGCACATCCTCCAGTATCTAGCCTGTTAGGATCATTCAATTCTTCAAACAGTCCTGTTTCAATAATTTCTTCCTGCCAGGCTCGAGGGACAGCACCTGTTGCAAACTTTTTGAAGAACTTCTTATCTTTCTCATCAAATTCGATTCCTCGCACTTCAGAGAAGTCAGCAATGTCTGCAAGATCTCTGGCATAGACAACTGATGGATCTGGCACAAAAGGGGGGTCTATCAGGCCTGCATTCAACCTGTGGAAATGTATTGTTTTGAAGAAACTGTGTTTTCTTGGATCATCATCTGAGTTTCTGCAATAAAGCAACAGACTGTTAGTCAACACTGTGGTGCGCAGGTTTCCAAACACACAAATCTGGTGGGTGCAGGGAAGGTGGGGTATGTAACACAGACATAGTCCTAGGGCTAAATTACAGATCTAGAACAGGAAATTTTTAGATTTGGGGAAAGTTCAAACTGCACAGTTTGAGTCTATTTTAATTTTAACTCAATTTTCCTTCAAAAGCCAAGTGTCATTATATGACTAGTGGATTAGGATATTTTCCCATTTTTAGCCAAGAATGTAAGGTTCTTAGTGGAACTGAAGCAAAAAAGGAAGAAACACTAAAAGCCCATAATGACCTAAGAATAAAGTGAGATGGAATTCCAGTACACTGTAGGAGGGAGTACAAGGGATTAATGCACATTGACTCAGGGAACAATATTTCAGTGCGAGACTGCTGACAAGCAGAAATGAGATTAGTGGCTTTACCTTAATTCAGAAAGGTTATCTGTTCATATCATGAAACCATCAGGCAAGGTCCAGTACTAGAACCTTTGTTCTCAGAAATACTCCATACTCAGTTGATTAGCCTGATTTAGGTCAACAGAGTTACTCCAGTAAGAACAACTTAAGCAAATAAAGGTTTCCAGGATCACAGTCAGATTCATAGTTTGGTGCCCTAACAAAAATCTTAAATCACTTTCCTAATACTTTCATACCAACTTCCCCTCTGTAACCAAATCTATTCTGCCACCTTACTATTATCAACATTAACATTAAAAAAGAAAAAAGAAAAACATACCTAAGAGTTAAAAAGAACCATATACATTTCTGTCCTAGCTAATCATCTTCATTAACATGGAAAAAGCACCAAAATAGGCTGTCTTAGACTCACAGGACTGCAGACAGTCCTGCTCTTCTAAGGGCCCACATCACACATGAATCAGAAATAAGTTGAACACCATTCTCAGTTTGCTTCTGATTCTGGTGCCAGCTGAATGCAGTAGGTGTTCTTCAACTGCCCTCTCCAGCTCCCTATTTTGAAAATTGCACTTTGGCTCCACCTTCTTGCTCCCGGTTAATATAAACAGGTCACCTAAGGCCACCAAATGGTGTAAAGAGGCATGATTGAAGAGCATAGCCATATGAGACATGTTAGAGCAGGGGTGGGCAAAATGCGGCCCGGGGGCCGGATGTGGCCCACCAGGCCATTCTATCCGGCCCGTGGGGACACTAAAAAAATTAGAAAATTAATATTTATCTGCCCCTGGCTGCCTATCATGTGGCCCTCCATGGCTTGCCAAAACTCAGCAAGCAGCCCTCCACCCAAAATAATTGCCCACCCCTGTGTTAGACAGCTGGGCAAGGGAGATGCACATTACAGTGATGAGTACAGTATAAAAACATTAACCTGATATGTAAAGGATCTTGCAAACCTAGAACCAGCTTGGTTAGCTAGTGACATACAAATACTGATGTAGCTGTGGAGCCTGTTCTTTGTTAGCTTAAAGAGTAATAGAACTGAGGTCAATCAGAGGAACTCACAGATCTGAGACATTCATAGATCTGTCAGTCCTCCCATAATAACTGGGCAAGATTTATAATCAGCCCACTCAGACAGATTTTATTTTGCTTTTTGTTCCTACAATATGTGATAAAACACATCAGAACTTGATGAAGGCTTCACAATAGATTTATGTAGTGTTTCTTCTCTTGACATAATACATTTTCTTCTGACATCACCCAGAATAGAATTACTTAAAAAAATGAAGCTACAGGAACGCCATCTACTGGAACCTACTGACACTTCTTCTAACTAGTCTGAGAAGATGTACTTGAACTCTCCCTGTGAGAACCTGACATTTGCATGACTCTGGTAAAAAAACCCAAATAAACTTGTCTAACTTCTACCAAAGTCCTTTGCTAATCCTCCATAAACAACTTCTGTAGATGCAGCCAGACAGTGTGGTAGAGTGATGCACAAGTCCCAGGGGTGAGAAAAAGAGGTTCATCTTTCCTGAATGAACTAACAATGCTGAATCTTGACTACAAAAAGAACACTTTCAAAAGGTCAGGTGTGCAAATTAAAGCTGCCCTTAAGCAGCTTTACCTTATGCAACAGGCACTTATGTAGCTAACCCAAGGTCTCACTGACTTTAGCAGAATTACAGAACTAATCTTTACATAAGGATGATCTGCTCTTGAATAGTATCTCCAGTGTAATAGGCACAGACAGGCTTTTTTCAAAGTCATACACAGCATGGCTGGCTACCTTTCCCTCACTTTGTCCACCATATGGGTAAGGAAAAAAGGGACAATTTTGTTCATGAATAACACTGTGACCCTTCCCCAATACTGCAAGGTTCTTCTACAGCTCATAACTGAATTCCATGCTCATGTCTTTAAACAACCAGCACCTTCTTCCCCTTGCATCTTTTTTCCATCTGTAGTTCTGCTTACTGGTCTAGTACAGATTTTAGAGGACCTTTTCCCAGTCCTTCAAAAGCATCAAGTGACACAAACAGAAAAGAACATACAGAAAACAGTATGAAATGTCAAGTGACAAAATGAAAAGTTTGCATAAGTAACAATCTACAAGCACCTCTCCCACTGCTAACAGATAATGTAACATATAGCAGACAGAAGGGTGGTATTGTGGCATAGGTACCAGAATAGTATTGTGGTAATATTAAGTCAGGCCTGTCCAGCTTCTAAGTGGCTGTGGGCTGCATCCCCCACAGGCCACAGCGATGGGGACCGTATGCCACAGGGGCCACACCAGTGCAAGTCACAGGCCCCAAAGACTGCACACTGCATGCACCCTCCCCCTGCTGCACTGCTTGCCCATGTGGGGAGGTGTCTCCCTTCTCCACTGCACCTTGTGCATCCCCGCCTCATCCTCAGCTCTTCAATCACTGACTCTCTTGCTGCACTGCACTTCACAAGTGCACCAGGCCACAGGCTCCCCCAGCACTACAGGCTATACTGGCCCAGGCTGCACTGGCCCCTGGGGTGGGAGCCAGTAGTGGAATCCAAATGAGGGAGGGGAAGCCCACTGGCTGTTGCTGCAGTCAGAACAATGGAGGGAGTTGAAGGTAGTAGCAGCCTAGTGGGAGTCCACAGAGCGCATTGCAATAGCCGATGGAAAGTTCTAACTGTATTATTATTGTTATTGTACTACACACTAAATACTTCTCTGAGTAAAGATGCACTAGTAGCAAATATCCTGATTTACAAATTAGAATGCATGGATCAATTTTAATTATTATTTGACTGTAAAAATCTTCATTAACTTGACTGCATTAGATACTAAATATTATGTTTTCTAAACAAGTGATAGGCTATATTTTCTAGGTTCATAAATCCTGCTGTTCAACATACTCTTTATAACACACAGGGCACACCTACACATTGCCCTATGGCAATGTAGTGATGCACTACACTGACATATGGTGTGCTATGGTGATGTAGTGATCACATGTGTCTGCACGTGATCAGAAGCTATGTCACCGTAGCGGCGCAATCTCCAGGTATAGTGTGTTGCTATGGCAACATAGCAGTGAAATTTACCCATGTGCTGTGTGCACAGCACAGTAACCACCCATACTGCGCCATGCTTTAGTACTTCCAAAAGGAAGTACTAAAACATGGCACTGTGGCAGTGACGTGTAGACATGCCCACAGTGCAGTAATAAGAGTGCAAAATCTTCAAAGAGAAATTCCCAGTGATTTCAACAGAAGATGTCCCTGCATAAGAACTGCAAAACAATATCTTTCACAGATAAAATTCAGAAAGATATAACATACCAGCTTCCAGGAGCATTTGCAATACTGTTGCTTTCAAAACTGTTGTGAAAACTGACTAGATACAAAAGCTAGTTGTCCTTATTTATCATAATCATTAAAATAAATTAATTATATTTTACTCACATTTTATAGAAAACTACTTGCAGTAGAAAGGCAAGGAAAATTCTGCAATACTGTCTTAACATTAAAATAAGAAAACAACCAGGAGAAAATCTGCAAATTTTCACTGAGTCTATACATCTGACAATTTTGAGAGGTTCTGGATACCATTATAATGGCAAAGCTAAACACCTGGTAAATTTACATTCATATTTGATTAAAATAATTAAATATTCTAAATATAGCCACACCAATTTCCTATTTATTATTCTTTATATATATATACTTTTTGGATTGCTTTGTATTTATCCTGTCTTATTAGCATCTTCCATTATGTATCAACACAAGCTATTTTAAAAGTTAAATATTATAACGTCTATCTTTCCAATGATCTTACACAAAATGCTTTTGAGACCTAGAATGCCTTTGGGACACAAAACAGCTTTTGACCCAGGGCCAAATCCAGCGATCATTAACAAAGGAAAAACTTCACTGAAGTCCTAAATAGAACTTATATCTAATAAGGACTGGGGTCCAAAGGGCGTGTCTACACATTGCTATACAGCAATGTTGTTATGGCACTGTGCTTTAGTATTTTCTTTTGGAAGTACTAAAGCATGGCACGGTAATTGCCCCATACTGTGCTGTGCATGTGGCGTATGGTTAGATTTCACTGCTACATTGCCCTAGAGGCGCACTATAACAGGGAGTGTGCTGCTATAGGGATGTAGATGCCAAACGCATGTAGATCCACATGAACACTATGTCGCCGTAGTGTGCTGTACGGCGATGTAGAATGTCGCTACATCACCGTAGAGTGACGTGTAGACACACCCAAAGTGTATCCTTCATTATAAGGGGATGATAAGAGGTCCGAGACATTCTGCAACAGTCCATCAGATCGCTCTTTAACATGGTGGGGCGCTGGGGTAGGTGATAAGAAGCCGGTTATAAGAAGCAGATGATGCAGGCTTGTATCCGCAGGCCCTGAGGGAGGCAGGGTGTCTGTCCTTCCATACTGAAGTTCTGGGCCCTGTCAGAATAGTTCCTACATGCTGCCAGAGACCAGACACTATGCATTTCATTAATGTAGGTGGAGTGCATTTTTAATATGTGCATGCTGACTGCCAAGAAAGAAGACAATCCTGTGGAGAGAGGCTGATCCCCCACCTCCTACTGGCCCACATCCTCTCTGTTCTCCAAAGCCATGTAGAACCTACCCCACAAAACTCCAAAGAGAAACTTCTATGAATTTCTGGGGTGGGATTGGAAGACAAGAGCAACATTTCCCCATTTTCATGGTCTTCCAAGACAGACCTGATAGAGCTAGAGCAGGATTCTTCCACTTCCAGGAGTATATGGGAAGATTTGAATCTATGTAGAAAGTCAAGATTTTGCATTCCTTTGTATTAAATAATGACTAGGCTTTATTAACCATGGAAACAAATCATACCTGCTTCCTAAACGATTCTCTGTTTTCTTAGCCAAGAACAGTGTGCAAATATCTTTTGCTTCTTTTGTGAAGTTTGGATGCTCAAATGTTACCTCATCTTCTAAGGTTCTTCTTTTCACTTCATCCTTAGTGATCTTTTCTTTGAAATCCTTGAATGGAGTTCGACCTGCAATCATCTCGTATATACTACATCCCATAGCAAACCAGTCCACAGAGAAGGAGTAATTTTCTTCCATCAGAATTTCAGGAGCCATATAACCATTAGTTCCAGCCTATGGTAATCAAACACATAGATTTACTACTATACAGTGGCAATACTGAAATGCAAAGATATAAGCAGATTTTACTTTCCTACAGCTAATCATATATAGTCACAACATTTCTCTGAAATGACCAGGAACAAATTGATGAAATTCTACATTCAGACATGACAGATGACATTTTATAGATGTATGTATATTCATTTAATATAATTATTTTGGCACATGAACTATTTCTGTGAATAAACACCTTCCTATAAATAAATTTATGGAAAACATTTTAATTATTATGCACAAAGGAAAAATGCATTTGTGCCATTTTTACATTTCAGTTGACATATAAAGAAGTTAGAAATAGCTTTTTAATGTTTGTTTTCATTTTATTTTCTTCTTTCACATTAGAAATTCAAGTCTTGTCTGCCTTTTCCCCTGATAACTATACATGGCTATGCACTGCTAAAGAACAGAAAATACATGGATATTAGGAGAAACCAGGAAAGTTAAAATAATCATCTAATGGATTTAAACACTTGTAGGGAAAATGTTCTCTTTAATTAGGATTCACCATCCACATTCCTTCTGTTAACAGTAGAGAAAGCTCCCAGCATATACTACTTTTGTGTTATTTACTAGATTTTCAGGGAAAAAATAGATTCACATGATATTTTAAGGTTCATATAGCAGCAGCAACAAAATCTCTGTCAGGTCTTCTTTGTATTTCCTAAAGAAACACAAAAAGGCAAAGTATCCACTTTTTCCCTTTGAAGCTCTTTTTTAAGCAATGCATAAGCCAAACAGCGTTAGTTAATACTGTGTTGTGCAGCTTTCGAGTAAAAGAGAATTAAGGCATTAGTTTCCAACTTGAACCAGGAACAATTCTAGATACAGGAATAACTGACCATGACCTGGAGATAGTGTACATTTCTAATTTCCTCTAAGGGTCAAATGCACAACACTCAGATTTGAAGGGCAGACAGAACAAGATTCCAGTTGAGTCGTATGCTGGCTATCTGCAAGTTGTGCTACCATCATTAAGGCTTGTAGAAGACTTAACACAGACAAGATTCCCACAGATGGACCCATTTTTACCACCTTAATACTTATGCCTAAATAACAGAGCAATCAAAATGCCAGAAGTCATTTTAGAAATTTCCTGTACCTTTCTAAACAGATGGGACTGCTGGGATATACTTTTTTTTTTAGCATAGTCATGACTCTAGTTCAAAATTAAACAGATATTTATTTGAGATGGTGATCATCACTATTATTACCAGGAGTTTATTACTGTCTAAAAGATTCACTATGAGGCAAGCCAGAGTTGCCTTAGGAAGGAGTAACTAAAATTGCAGCCCACTTGGGGCATTTGTAAATGGTATAAAGAAGCATATATGCACAAACAGTTTTCAGTTTAAAGGTGGGGAAACAATAATGTCTTATTATTTCTCGATCTTCAGACACAACTTTCCTTTTTTGGTTAGGTTTTTAATCCATAAGGTAACAGTTTCCTCCTATAAACCTGAATAGAGTATAAATAGAGTATAGTGATACAGAGTATAATATATACCCCTATACTTTCCAGTGTGTGTGTGTGTGTGTGTGTGTGTGTGTGTGTGTGTGTGTGTGTATACTTTCCTCACTCTGGTAACTAAAGTAAAATTCCCTATGGCCCCAAGCAACATAAGATGGTCTCATAGACAATCTGAATCTACTGCTGGGTTAGGCTAGTGAAAAGCAGATAGCTGAACTTGCTAGGAATACTTCCTCTTTAGAAATATGAGGTGAAATCACATACTTTGCAGAGAGGCTGACAAGAGGTAAAAATAACACAAATACAAGGCAGATGTGATTAATGCATACTGAAAGAAGGACTAGAGAAAATGTGACATTTTCCTCCTCTGTAACCACAGAAGCTCCTCAGCTCACTGGAGTTATATGTGACATTACAGCCTGGAGAAGATGGAGCACTCTATCTGACATGTTCCACTGGGTGATATGCAGTACTTGCAGTATTTGGATTTTTCTACTAAAAGTCAATACCGCCCCAAAAGGATTAACTTGAGGTTCCTACTGTTCCTCCATTCAGCAATGAGAAGCATTTAACTGTAGACTCAGAAATCTTTGTCAGCACAGCTCCACAGAAAGCTGAGGGACCAGGAAGGTATACAGAAAAGCTCATTTCTATACTGACAACCTAATATGCAAGGATAGACCTGGGATTCCTTATGGATGGTGAATATCGACAGGATTGGGAAGCCATGCCACCTACCTTAATTGCATAGTTACAAACCTTTTGCCCTGAAAGTTTAGAATAATTATCTAGTGCTCACATTCCTAGAGTATAAATAAAGTAAGGAGATTTCCAATCATAGCCAGAAATTCAAAAGAACTAAATGACAAAAGAAATTGAATCCATAGAGTTTTTAACTGCAGGACTCCCATTAAGTGGCTAGAAGACAGTACATTAAGTTGAGAGTATACCCACCCACTGGTCTCCAAATCAGAGTCAGAGAAAGACAGTTAACTTACCCCCTACCAGGTCAAAGGGTATAAGAAGGCATAGTAAATTGTCTTAAAAATATAAAAATGAGAACAGAACAGGAAGCAAAAGACTGAAGATGCATTTGTTCCAACAATCCAACAATCTTGGATTGTTGTTAAGTATTTGACTTGATTAATGAGGTTGTATCCCTTGATTTAGGTATTGTAGCATTAACATTTTTGGAAAGTATGTTTTCTTAATTAAGGATCTGCTACCATTAGGTCAAATTCTGCCTCGTGCTTGGAAATGGGCAAAATAAATGCACCCCCTAAAAGGTCACATTACTGTATTGCCAAGACAGTATTCCCAATCCTGCCCAAGATCAGAGCTGAGTACAGCACTATCTTCAATCCTGTAGTCATTCCTGATATAACATAGGGACTATTTGTGCATAGAGGGATCATTGTCTAGTCTTTGCAGGTAAAGAAACATGCAGACCAGCCCCCGCAAAAGTTGGGCATGTCCCATTAGATACCTCTAGAACAGAAATTATGAAGAAGCACAACTTTTCAAATGAGGCAGAAATCCAGGCCATCTCCAATGCTTCTGCTGCTGCTCCAAGCAGTTTTACTGGCATGCACCTCAGTGCAACACCACCCAGTTTTGGTTCCACTCATACCTGACATGGAAATACTTTATCTTAGAGATTAGCATCTTTAACATTGATAGCTAAAATTCTTCATTTTTATACTTTTTCTGAAGGGCACCATTACATCAATTTTATTATTTAAACAGAAGATGTTATAAAAAGATTTCTGCCTTTTCTTCATTTAAAGAAGAACCTGAAATCCAAAACCAAAGCCAATGATATCTGAAGGTAGACCCAAACTCCGCACACATCCCTTACTGTCCTGAGAAGGGCAACTTACCACTAATGCCCTGGTTACACTCTGGCATCTGGGGTCATAGGAAACAGGGTGGGGAAAGAAACACAATGCAGCTCTTTACTGTTTTCATCAGGACAGGAACTCACGGACAGAGGAAAAGAATGAGATGTAGTTCTCCCTACCTTTTCCCACAGCTCTTTACAAAACAAACTCAGTCAACATCATAAACCAAACAGCAAAGAAATCAGAATATCTAGCTTTTGTTTGCCATGGCACAAGAACTGTTGAACAGGGTGAAAAAACAAGCCGAGTTTAGCTCTATCAGCTGTTTCCTGGGGTTCAGTCTTTCCTTCCTCCAAGGGGTGCCAATGACTGCTTTGTTCTCGTTCCCAGCTGTTCCTCTGCTCCTTGAGTAATGGCCTTAACAGACCCTGGAGGAATGTAGAATCAAACCACAGGAAACTTTTTTTCTGCATATGAGTTACTGGGCCCTAGACTGGGGAAAAGAATGATTGATCTTTCATTGTCATTCATTTCATAATGGCAGTTTGTTTTGTTTTGCTTTTCTAGAACTACTGTGAGGAGGAACTGAGCAGAACCTGAAGCAGAGATACAGAGACAGGCATCCTGTTATCTTGCCAAATAGTCCCACAGCAGCAAGAATGTACTTGATCACTTAAATGGGTTGATTATTTTAAAAATCAAGGTAAAATCAGGTTTGATTAACACATGGAAATTTTCCATTTTTGTATTGCACAAAGAAAGCAGGATTTATCACAGCCTCAGTTATTGCTTAGGGAATACAAGGCTGTCATGCGGCTTCCAGAGAAATCAGTGGGCTGAGGGTTTAGAGGTATCTCAGGCCAACAAAATACAAAGAGAAACATAGATATGTTAGTCAAGTCAGTTAGAAGGCAGGGCAGGGTGACACCTTAGAGACTAACTGCTTCAGAAAGGATAGAAGACCTACCTAAAGTCCCAGAGGACATCATGGCCAGAGCTCCAAGGAGAATGCAGGACTTTCTCAGTCCTTGTGTATGTTCTGAATTCTAGACTAGGAATTCTCACACATTTTCACACTGTGGACCACAACCTTAAAAGAAGATGCCTTTAAAAACAGACAGGTATAAGGAGCAAAGAGCTAGCATGGCTGCCTCCAACAGTAGCTGATGTAATAATGGAGGAAAAGAAACAAACATTTTGCCTGGAAGTAAGGCATAAGGTAAAATACTTTAAAAGGCGTAACTGCCTCCATAACTTTACATTTGCACAGTGGCAAAGACTGCATGAAGTTGAGTGACTGAGAAGGAAGGTAGTCCACATGCTCATGGATGGGAAGGGAGATGGGGATGGATTATGAGTAAATCACTCTTCCTTTTTTCTTGCTGTCTTCAAAAGTACCTAAGAAGGATTTTCTCTTGCAGTCTGGTCCACGGTGTATAAAACAGGGGTAGCCCTAGTGATAATACAGCCCTTACGGAAAGGACTGTTCTGAAGATTAATTATTCAGTGGCTGTGCAGTATATAGAATACAGCATTCTTAGTGATGGGAAGAATTTCAATCAACTCTATTTATACTTTCTGAGACACATGATAAATTAATGTAAAAGCAGTATCAGAGCTTTGCACAGTATCATATGTAGGCA